ATTTAAAAAGCCAGAACATAAATTAACAAACATAAACTTTACATCCGAAAATATAAATATGTTGAATCCTTCTATCTTAAATTCTGGGCATGTGATAGATGATTGTACGCTTCAGGGCATGGACACCTACCCATGTGGCATGGTACCAGGAATGGTACCCTAATCATAAGAATGTAGAAAACCATACTTTAATGCGCATAGGGCGCAAAGAGCGCTACCCTATCCTAAGCAATTTCACGAACTGCACAGGACTGAAACCGATGGACATAGCTATCAATATGGCACTAGTAATAGAAACCCCATGGGTTAGTATTTTTTATTAGTAGTGCAGCTTACCAAAAAATAGCTTAAATACTATAACAGTCCAAACACGGACTGTTAAAATGTATGTGAATTGTCTGCTTGCAGAAGTTTTGCTGCGGTTGGGCTGTTAGTGGCTGTTAGTGCAAAGGGCTGTTAGTGCATATAAGCGAGGAGTTCCAAATGGATATCAGATGGTCGTGACTTCTTACCTTGATGACGTTTGGAATGAAGTGGAAGAAATAGTCGAAAAGGAATTGAAAGCGGTGAGGAGCCAAAGGTAACTTAAAGGGGGGAAGGTACCCAACTTAGTTCCGTCTTCAATAAGAGGATTATATATATATACATTTAATAAGCTTCAAACGCTGATTTCAAGTATGCTATTCCTAGTTGCGGGGCATCGATTTCGAGCGAGTTATTGACTTTATTGTGTGCAGAATTTGCATACTCATCGATTTCCTGGCATCATGGCTTCATCTTCTAAGTACTAGTACACTTGCACAAAGCTTCTTTTTAGTAGGAAGTTGGAGTTGATGTTATTTCGCTATCTCAGCACCTTTTTCTTGCAATTATTACTTACAGGCGGTCATACCGTGCTCTGATGCCAATTCGGTGCGCCCATAGCTCGCTTTGGGATGGTGCACCGCAGTTAGGAACAGCATATTTGGAAACAGTGTTTGAAGCTGATTCGGAATATGTATGCTTCTTGTCGAGAAGATGAACTACTTAGTTAATCCATATTGTATCAGCAGCTTATTGTCCGTTAAGCAAAATCTTAGCAGCAAAAGTCGTTTACAACCTCTGCACTGCTTAGGTATATATAGCATTCTTGCAAATGATAGTTTGAGAAAGCACCGGTTTGCTTGTCACAATATGTGACGAGGAAAGAAACAAGTGGCTACAGTATAAAGTGGTTTTTTGGTTATATATTGCTGTTCTCATGGAGGTCTACATAACTTCTATAAAGTAATTCCCCACACCAATCTACGCACACACTCTTGCTCGAAATAATAGCTTTTCTGAAAACAATGATGTCCTTGAAAGCAGAAACTCTTGCATAATATTTTTTGTAATGCTATCTACCTGCGGTCGAAATAAAAGGGCTGTCATAGTTCGCTGACGTACTGATGATTTCCAGTATGGAATCTAGGCATTCCATTATGAAACCATATGCGATTTACATTTGTACCACTCCGAATTATTTATCAAATCAAAGAGTTACCCTCTGAGTAAGATATTGCAACCGCAAAACCTCAACAAATGATAACAAGTCATTTTTACATTCAGCACATACAATACCGCTCATAATTCGTCAAAAAAGTCGCCGGAGTGCGGCGGAGTGTGGCGGAGTGCGGCGCACTTCACCACACTCCGCCGCACTCCGGCGCACTGCGCCACACTTCACCACACTCCGCCGCACTCCGGCGCACTGCGCCACACTTCACCACACTCCGCCGCACTCTAGCGCACTCCGCCGCAGTCCGGCGACTTTTTTGACGAATTATGAGCGGTATTGTATGATAACGCGCCAAACAAGTTCATCATCAAATCTACTCTTTGATGTTGAAAGCGCATAGTTCAGGTTCACTAAAATGAAGCTTACGCTAATCGCCTATATCTCAATATTGTTACCTTTTCACACTCTTACGAAGCTGAGCAAAGCAGCCGTTTTGCCCTTACACATCGATTTATCCACTTGTGCTTGCCAAAGGAAAACCGTTGGAAAACTAACCAAGTATCGTCGTCTCGTTGGCCGTACGGACTGCTCAAACGCTTTGGACCACGCGCGGCACGGTTAAAATGTTGCGAGAGCACGATTTCAACAATGGCGAGCTTGTCTTGGAGCAAGCGTTTTACCTCGCGGCGCGTGCTCCGCGGTTATGTCCAGTCCGTACAGTCAACAAATGGACGTTACTTAAGTTGTTCGTTTGCAGGTACTCAAAAACAAAAGCAAAGATGACAAAAAGCGTATTGTGGCGGAGAGGATGAAAACGATAAAGATTGGCTGCGCACGTTAAGAAAACTGGATAGGCTGGCAATCAGCCGTGTGTTTGCTGCCAAAGCCTGCCATCTACTAGCCCTGCCAACCATTGTAAAGATTCTGATAACTCCTACTATGCTATCGCTTTTCTAAAAGTGAGAGAGACAAGGGCAGTAGAAACTTTTTTGGTTCCACTCTTTGGTGTTGACGATAAAAAAGTTGATTGAAGTTGTAGTGCGATGGAAAGTACGCATTTAATTGCCTTCCTCTCGCTCAATAATTACGATGATAATTTGAAAATAGAGCTAAAAGAGAGCAGTAGACCTTGCTCTTTAGAAACATATACTAAGAGTCTTTAATCACTTGTTTCGAGGAACTCGTCGGAGCCATTCAATCATAGCAACGATGCATGAAATAGATTGATTCAGTGTGATAGCCTCAATCACTTAAACACCCATTTAAGGTCTTTCTGCCTTTTCTGCGGAATAAGTTTCCGGAACAAGTTATGAGCGTTTGAATGCCCAGATTTGCCAAGCATTGAGTTGCTTAAAATCAGCGAAAACCCCTAAAACAACACCTATGCGATTTCCATCGGCTTTGTTCCTTCCTTGCAAACAACATACTCTATACAAAGATGATTTTCCACTTTCCGGTGTTTTTGTACAGCTTTTCGCCACCTAAACCTTGAGAAATTTGGACATTTGAACGCCCAGGACTTCTTTCGGAAACTTATTCCGCAAAAAAGGAAAGCAGTTTCGGAATCAGCGTTTAAAGGCGCGTTTAATGATTTACATCTCATCTTCAATCGACTAATGTTGGTATCCTTTCCTTGTAAGTATTATTCATGTATTTAAAAAAACCAGAACGTAGATTTCTTTTAAATCCGATATTATGTTGAAGTCCTTCTGTTTCAAACTCTGGGCATGTGATAGACGATTCTAAGTTTCAGGAGGACAGACCATACGAATGTAACAGATAATAAATCGTCGAGCGGGGTGACATTAACCTATTATAATAGCAATTTCAGAGACTGTACAAGACCGAAAAGCAATACGAACTGCACAGAACCGACCACCGAAGGATGTGGATGTGGATGGCCTTCTTTTGAATGGCCTTTTGGATGGACGACGTGAGTAACTTGTTCTTAGTATTGTTCATGTATTTTAAAAAGCCAGAATATAGGTTCCCTTGAAATCCGATATAAATATGTCAAAGTCCTTTTTCAAATTCTGAAAATGTGATAGACGATTCTGAGTTACAGGTGGACACTTGACCATACGAATGTCACAGATCGTAAATCGTCGGACGGGGTGACATTAACCTTTATAATAGCAACAACACAGGACCGATAGGCAATTTCACGAACTACATAGGACCGACCACCAAGGAAATCAAATGGCCTTCCTTCAAATTGCCTTTCTTGAGAGGGTCGAAGTCAGTAACTTATTCTAAGTATTATTTATGTATATTTAAAAAAGCCACAACATAGATTCCCTTTACTTCCGGAAATATGAATATGCTGTGGTCCTTCTATCTCAAATTTTGGGCATGTGATAGACGATCGTAAGTTTCAGGACATGGACATCTGACCATAGCGTAGATCATAAATCGTCGCGCGAGGCGCCATTTCCCTATTATAATATAAGCAATTTCACGCACTGCACAGGACTGAAGTTGAGGGACATGGGTCAATGCGGGACTAGCAATATATACCTCATGGGTTAGTATTTTTTATTGGTAGTGCAGTTCACTACTAGATAGCTCAAATACTCTGATATTCTAGGCACGGATGTCAATAATATATGTGAATTGTCTGCTTGCAGAAGTTCTGTTGCGGTTGCGCACAAAGAACTATTAGTGCATACAAGCGAGAAGAAGAACCAAATGGATATCAGTTGATCGCGACTCCCTGTTACTTTGAACCCATTTGGTATGCAGTGGAAAGAATAGTCAAAAAGGAATTGAAAGAAAGGAAGGTGAGGAGCTAAAAGGAACTTGTAGGGAAGGTATCCAGCTAGCCGGTCTTTAATAAGAGACTTACATATTCTTAATTAGCTTCAAACGCTGACTCCAAATATGCTATTCCTAGCTGCGAGGCATCGATTTGAATCGAGTATGGACTCCGTACAAAATTTGCATATTCATTAACTTATTGGCAACACGGATCATTTTTTAAGTATCAATACACTTGCGTTAAGCTTTTTTTTTAGTGAGGAAGGATTGGATTTGTTGTTAATTCGATATCTCATCACCTTTTTCCTAAAGATTTTTACCTACAGGCAGTCTTACCATGTTTCGTAGTATGTCAGTGCAATGCAAAAGCCCAAAACTCGCCTCGGAATGGTGAGCCGCAGCTAGGATAGTATATTTGGAATCAGGGTTTGAAGCTGATTCAGAATATACAGGATGTTTTAGAAAAATGCCTATTGTTTGATCATTAATAACTCTCTTGTCGTAAGAACTTTCGGGAAGAATTAGGTACCACTTTGTAGAGCTGGATTCAACTTATACAGTATGGAGCGCATTACCGATATTCCTTCATTACTATAATATTACGGTAGGAACTCACAGCATGTGACGCCACTGTGAAATAGGCCGTTCAAAAAAATTTCAACAAAATCATTTGTGTAACAAGGTTTTCATGCATGCTGATTTCACTACATAAGTTTTTACGCGTCCGCAGAGCTTTTGAGTGGCCTAATCAAATTTTCGACAATTATTAGAAAACCGTCGTTATGTTATATCTGGCATTTGTTGAAAAAGCGTCACGGTAAACTGAGAGTTTTATATTTGAAATCATCGACCCTGATTAACCTAGTGTAAGAGTTTTTAGCTTTTTTAGTCCTTACTTAGAGGTAAAATATGACCCTCAATGACGCAAAACCCAATTCACTACCGTAATCCTACAGTAGTGAAAAGGGATCGATAGCTGCTCCATGCTGTAAAACAAAATTGAAGCCAGCTTTACAAAAAGGTGCTTAGAGCTTCTTGAAAGACTCAATGACAAGAGAGCTATTAACAATCAAACAGTAGGCACAGGTTTTTTGGGACACTCTGGCCCGTAGTAAACCCCCCATCAGGGCTCTCTCTTGAGGCGGACCGGTTTTGATCTCATCGCGCCTCAGCACATTGCCAGGGGAGCGGTTGATTTCGAGCAGATCACTTACTGAACGATCGCGTTTTCAACGACGGAACGTTTCTGCCATTTGTGCATTACTAGTCGATTGGATAAGACTAATGCATTTCAAGCGGCAGGGTCGTGGTTCGAGTGCGGGAGCGTACAATTTTTGCTACTTGGCCTGGCGATCTTTGATAGCGGCCGCTGTCGAAAACATCGATGACAGCCGCTATCAGAGATTTCACTAAGCGAACAACGGGATAAAACAAATACGCAGTATGGAATAATATCAGGAAAAATCACACTTGGCGAAGAATGAGTAGAAAAGTAAATTCATCGTCTTGCTATTTAAAGCGGTTTTCTCAAGAAAAACAAGCAACAACTGCAAAAAAAAAAACAAAAAACCTTTTTCCGATTTCGTCGCGCAATCAGCTGTTCATCGATCCTCACTCACTCAGGCGCCCGAAATTGTGCAATTTTGGGAGTTTTAGACCGCAAAAGAACGTCATCTGCGATGTTTCATAAGTTACTCAGGAGCAACTTACGGAGGTTTTCTCTGCGCTCTCCTCTTTAGCACAGTATTCACCGAATGTCGTCGCCCGGCTCATCTCCGATGACTCGGCAGGGAGGTGATCTCCCTACCGGGCTTCATCTGAAGCTCACCTGTAGGGTGACCTTGCATAGTCACACCACGAAAACGCGGAAAGTCCTCATCTCACCCGGCAAAACCTCATATGAGAGCCTCAGGGGAGATTATCTCCCGTGACCGAGCTTTACTACGGGCCTCTGTCGATATGTGACAAGGGAAGAAACAAGCGGCCACAGTATAAAGCGGATTTTGGTTGATTATGGTTTTCTAGAAACATTGGTGTTTTTAAAACCAGAAACCATTGCATAATATTTTTTGTTCAAACATGCTATCTACCTTCGGTCGATATAAAATGGCTGAAATTGTCTTCCAAGTTACAATTCGCTGACGTACTGTTGATTTCCAGTATGAAATTTAGAGATTTGTGTATGAAACCATAGGGAACTTACATTTCTACACCTTCGAATTATTTATCAAAACAATGAGTATCCTTTGAGTAAATTATTGAAACCGAAAAACGTCAACAAATGGTAATAGGGTGGCGGTCAAGATGAACGATAGCATGTGCCAGCCGCCAGCTGGGTTCTGTACGCGGTGCGCTGATCGCTCCGCCCCCTTAGCCTAGGAATGCGTTGCGCTATTGGAAAACTCTCTAATACTTCGTTCATGCTTGTGCAGTTGGTTGCAATTTGGGTAACAGTAGATTTCAAAATTTCAATTAAATTGAAAATCAGTTTTCAGATCATTTTTCATTATAGATTAGTTCGCAAGCTCTTTTTAATGTATTTCAATTATTTGTTCCTAGTAGGCTTGTCCAAAATGATTTTTCATTGCAGGTATGAGAAAATTGTTCCGAAAATGCTTGAAAAAGTGTTTTTCTCCACTCATATTTGTTACCACATTGAATATGCTTTGTTGTGCACTCACAAGTTTAGTTTAAAAAGAAGTCAGCTTATCGAGAAATACTCAGATTTCAGGGCAATCATACTGCACTTATATATTTTCGAATCTGCTTTGAATAACAAAATTCTATCAATTTGCTTCCAAAAACTGCTATCCTCAATATAAATCGATCTGTAACTCAATCGAAATTGCGTGCGAACTAGTCATAAGATGTGAGGTCACTCAGACAATCATGCCTGAGGTGTTCTAGACTGATTTAACACTTCAAAGGTGGATATCCAGGAGTCACTCGGTCATTCATGGGTAAATCAGCAAATCTATCGAATTTCACGACCAACACATCAGCTATTCATTGATTGCCAAAAAAGAAAAGAAAATCAAAACAAATTCTGTAAATAGTCAAGCTTCACCGCAGCTTGCAACAAGCTTGTATCTCACTATCAAAAGTTATTTTTACTTGAAGGTATCGTCCGAGAAACTCGTCCGCCGCATTAGGGCGGAGCTTCGAGCGAACACATTATTGCCAGTTCATGACCCCGCGCGCCACTAGTACCAGCTATCGTTCATCTTGACATATACCCATGGTAATAAGTCATTTTGCATCCAGCACAACTAATAACGCGCCAAACAATTTCATCATCAAATTTATTCCTTGATATTGAAAGCGCATAGTTCATCAAAATGAAACCTTCGCTGATCGCCTATGTCTCAATATTGTTACTTTTTCACACTCTTACAAGTTGAGCAAAGCAGCCGTTTGCCCTTACACACTGATTTATCAACTTGTGTTTCTCACAGGAAACCGCTGGAGAAACTATGTATGTACTCACATTGTTTGTTTGCAGGTACTCAAAAAGAAAAGCAAAGCGGACAAGAAGCGTATTGTTGCGGAGAAGATGAAAACGATAAAGATTGGATGCGCACATTATGTAGACTGGAGACGTTGGCAATGAGCCGTGTGTTTGCTGCCAATGCCTGCCATCTACTAGCCCTACCAACCATTGTAAGGATTCTGATAACTCCTACTATGCTATCGCTTTTCTAAAAGTGAGAGAGACAAGGGCAGTAGAAACTTTTTTGGTTCCACTGTTTGGTGTTGACGATAAAAAAGTTGATTTAAGTTGTACGTGCGATGGATATAAGTAGATTTTACGCATAGATAAGTACGCATTTAACTCGGTTTATAAGTGCCTTCAACTTGCTCAATAAATACGACGATAATCTGAAGAAAGAGCTAAAAGAAAGCAGTCGACCTTGCTCTTTAGAAACATATACTAAGAATCTTTGATCACTAGTTTCGAAAAACTCGTCGGAGGGACCAATCAAAGCAACGATGCATGAAATAGATTGATTCGGTGTGATAGCCTCAATCACTTAAACACTCACTTAAGGTCTTTCTCCCTCTCAAAATTCATGCATCATTCAAATTTTCCCTCAAGGAGACCCAATCCGACTAGCATGGACATTCGTTAATGATATAGTATAGTGCAGTATCGCTGTAGTTTCGCTCAGATATATAAATTGTTTGTTGTCAGAGAAGCTTTTTTTGGCGAATTATAAGGTGTGACGAACGCAGTGTGCAGCTTAACATATCAAATTACGGAGGCTCGCGCATATGCGGACTTTACGGGAGCAGAGGAGTGGCGATGACTCGATCATAGATACAATACCGCTAATAAATTTTGAAAAAACGAAGCACAGTCGCCCGACTCATGTGACATCACCGTAGCATGGCCGTATCTCGCTTCACAGCGGATGAATTCTCAACATAAGAGGACCATTTGACTCAGCTCGGCGCGGCCATCTTCTGTGGCCGTATTCATCAACGAACCCTGAAGGTTAAGCTTACCTCCAGGGTTAGTTTAACCCTCAGGGCTCTTTGGCCGTATCCATCAACCGTAGGCTAGGATTTACCACGGAACGCGATCTACCCGTATCGATCAACGAACGTGTGGCTGTATTCATCAACCCTGTGGGTTAAACTAACCCTGGAGGGTTAAGGCGTCAGTTACGCGTGCGCTGTGCAAACTCACATCACAGAATGCCTAGGTACGATCTAAATTCACTTTATACTTATATTCTTTCACTGTTATAGTAGTATAGTCAACGAATAAGCTTCTAACACTAGTTTTTATAGTACATCTCTAGTGTACTTGTGCACAGAGTTGAGAAAGAGGTCAGGCACAAGTTTTTCGAAACCCCCCGCTCTCCCATTAAAACCCTCAAACGACCCCTTCTTCCTCCTCTTAACCTCTGGACCTCAAAGTGTGACATTCTGGAAGACACCAT